AAAAAAAAAAAAAAAAAAAAAATATACTGATCGAATTGAGTAACCTCCTCCTTTTTCGAAGTCGGTTAAAAAACGAAGGAGAATCGTGGGGGAATGCCTGGAAAAGCGGGAGTGTGTGTAAAGATATCCGCTCGTTGCGCCGCAGTATGTAAATAGAAACCAAACCAAACCAAACCCATTTTTCTCCTGGACTTCCTGGAGGAGAATTTCCATTCTCTCCTTCGTATTGCTTTTTTCTCTTTAACCATTTATTTTATGTTGCCATTTTCCCTTATCACTTCCATGTCTTCCAATTCTAACTCCAATTCTTTTTTTTTCTTTCTTCATTAATTCCTCTTCTTCGCTTCCTAGATCTCTTCCTTTTTTCTATCCCCCTTGCTACCTCCATCACCTCCTCCTCCACTTCTTTCATTTCACACTCTTCCCTATTAATATGAATATTCTTATTCCTGCTAACTCTTTTCTTTTTCTTATCTAGATCTCTTTGCCTCATAACTATTTTCCTCACTTCCTCCTCATCTTCTTTCAAAAATTCAATTAACCAATCCTTTTTCAGAACAATAAGCGAGGACCCTGTTCCCTCCAAAATACTCTTTCTTGATACCCCTTCACACTTTAGTTCTCCCAAACTACTTCCTTTATTCTCTGCCTTCCTTTTATCGTTCATGTTGTCTTTATATTCTTCTTCCGTTTTCGTTCCAGATTTTTTCCTAATTTCTTTTTCTTTTCTGTCCTTCTTAGCCCTCCTTATGCTCCTCTCACACTCACTCATCCCCCGTGAGATGAACCTTATAAATTCCTTTAAACTATCTTATATCTCCCATTATTCTTAATAATAATACCTAACAAACTATCTCCTAACCTCCTCCCCTTCCCTACACTAACTTAACTAACTAAAATTGCATTTTTAAGTAATAAAATCTTAAAAAATTGCGCCCTCAAAAAATCACGTCCGACTCTCACGACGCCATCTTTTCCTCACCCTATACATATGTATATTTACAGTGATATTATTTGTGTGAACTAACGTTCATGTCACCGATTTGCTCTTATACTGTTACTACATGTAAAGTAACCGTTATTATTTGTATTTTTGTTATAATCTTTTAATAAAGTATTTTGTAGCTATGTCTGTATAATATTTTTCCCTTATTTTTATTCGCAAAATATGCTATTGTCATTCTATGGAAAAGGTAGAGATCACTAAAATGGACGACAAACTATAATAAAAAAAGATCATTTACTTATCAATAAAGGATTATTCTTAAGTAATGATCCTTTCAATGTCATGTATGTAACATTTGTAAATAACATTTTTTCATACATTTAATTTCTATATGTGAACCCATCATGTAAATAAATGATTAAACTACAAGAACAACGTACGGAATATTAACTATTCTGTAAGTAGCCCATTAAGTAAATTTAAAAATAAATGTTAAATACAATAAAAACACTTTTTGTCAAAATCAATTTGTTGTATAAAAAGACATTATTTGATTTCTTCTTCAACTATTTATATATAAAAATATGTAGAAAATAAAGAAAGTAATATTTTACATATTTTCTTTTATATTTATAATATTACTTATTGTATTACGTATATTTATAAATTAAAGAAATTAAAACTTCAATAAACGAAATAAGAACTAGAATATATTCATAGGTATAAAATTGCAATTGCTGTTGAAATTGCGAAGTGAAAACTATGTTGTCGCTAAATCTTGAGTAAAAATTTGCTATTATATTGATTGTTTTAGTTCGTAAAAACTTTTAATACATAAATAAATAATGAAAGGTAAAAGCAAATAAAAATTCATTGTGAGATAAATCAATAGAGACAAAATGTGTTTTTACTGAGCAACAATACTATGGTTAGAAAAAAATAATTATATTACATTATTTTGAGTTGTATACGCTAAACATTTAACAAATATAAAAGTTAATATAAAGCAAATTATTCATTAATGATGAAGTTTCGATTCATTAAAAAGTGATATTACACCGTAAATATGATATTACAATGTATATATATATATATATAAAAATAAAAGTATCTTATAGTAAATAGTACAGAGTAAGTACAGAATATCGTTTAGTAAAACCCTTTGATCAAATATTTCACCGCATCGAATTAAAAAGGCATCCTACAATTTACTTTAGTTTAAAAGAACGGGTACCAGATATTTAAAACTTAATAATACTAATATTTTTATCGTTTGTAAACACATGCAGTACTTCTGGCTCGATTATATATATGCTATTATTTCTGTAAATATTAGAAATGCGAAAAAATATTTTGTACCAATTATTTTATTTGATAGAAAAGACTTAATACAATTTTTATGAATGATTAAACCAGAAATACTGTGTATAAATCTTATAAAATATTTGTGTATATCCGATCATATATCATTACAACGTATCTATCGAAAAATTGGTCGCTACGCAAAGTTAATATTTTTATTTATACACATATCAGTGTCAGTTTTATCACACAACATTTTGCATGCTGCTGTTAAAATATTCGGCTTAAGCAATGAAGATGGTTTTAAATTATGAAGATAATGGAAATATCGATTTCCCCTTTTGTAATTCGTATTAGCTCTATATTCTTCTGCTCTACACATTGTTCTAATAGATGGGAAATAGTCCGTAGCTATAATTTCATGATCGAGTAATGATGACGTGATATGTGATAATGCTCCATTTACTTCTTTATTTAATTGTTTCCTTAAAATGATATTGCTTTGACATTTTCTTTCGTCGTATTCACAAGCTTTGTACATAATTTTGTTGCCTATCCATTCAGCTATCTCTGAACACATAATACTACTCATTGAATATAAAGCAGTATTTTCAACTAAGGACAAACTGGGCTGTATTTTTAGCTGCCTTAAATTTAATGCAGAATCTTCTACGTTCGTTAAAGATGTTAACAAAGCTATATTATCTAACTTATTTGCTATATCATTTAATGAAATCTTATTATTTTTTCTAGGTTCGCTACCTGTGACTACTTTTCTTTTTTGTTTTTTACTTACTTTAATTGCTGGTCTGTATACGTGGTATTGCATGTTCTGCCAAAATGAATTCTTGAAATTTATGAACTGTTCTGACATTTGTGGTGGGCCAGATAATAACAAATATTGTAATTGTAATATAGCTTTCCGTAAATCACCACTTTGCAATAATTCCTATAAATAAAAAGATTTTTTTATAAAAGTTCTTTATGTTTACTATTACGTTATAGAAAAGATATACAAATTAAATACTATATAAAAATATAAAATATTATAAGAGTGATAAGCATAAATTTTATTATAACAATAAAATAACGATTTCCAAAATAATTGATGAATTTACAAACACTTACTGTAATACAACTGGAAGAAAGCCTGTAACCAGTTTCCGCTAATGAAATTAATTCTAACAAAACAGAAACTTTATTGCCAACAGGACTTTGAAAAAAAATTCTACTTTGTTGAGGTGCCAATTTATTTAAATGGGGACAAACGTCTTTACACGTCATAACAATTGGTCGTTTCGTATTTGACGCTAACTGACATATAGCAGAAATAAAACCTTCATCTTCTTCAAATATAATATCAACATCTTCTATAAGAATAAGGGAATTTTTTGATATTTTCTTTGGTATAATTTTGTCTGAATTTAAATTGCAAAGAGAAGTAACTCTTTCCTTTTTTTTTATTTGGTATGATTTTGTTGCTTCCTCTAGTTCCTTAAGAAGCTTTTTCCCAGTTCTTTTAGATGAGGCATTTAATTCCAACACCCTACATAAAATTTTGATTACATTATTAAATAATACATAAATTATAAGTAAAGTCATTCATTAATTAAATATTAATACTAACGTATAGCCAAATTCTTCTGCTACTGCATATACACTTGCAGTTTTACCACTTCCATGAGGACCTAACAGTACAGCCACCTGATTATTTTTATTATTTTTTGAATAACTACTGTCAGATGAATAAAATTCATCTCCACTATTACTATCTTCGTTTATAAACGTTAATTTCCATCCAACTAACCATTCTCTTAATTTTATAGCTGCTTTTTCATTTCCAACTACTTCCTGGGTAGATTTTGGTCTGTATTTGTAAGTCCAACTAAAATTTTCAATTTGATTTTCATTATCTATATGTTCTGTCATTCCTATCTTTTTCACTTGTTTATTTTTTCTACTTTTTGTTTTTGGGGACACTGTTTTATGAGAGTGCCTTTTAACAGTAAGTGCAATAACGCTCCACATTTTCTTTACATCTGAACAACTTTTTTCAATATCTGTTAATGCCTCTTCAATTTTTGATTGGTTAATGTTTTTTAATTTTTTCAACTTTATCTCAGAAAAATCGACAACTTGTTTATAATATTTTACATTTAAATTTGGAATATACAATTTATTACTAACTTTTTGTAAAAAATTAATATTACCTTTTTCATTACAATCTAAATTATTTAATTGTGTAATATGACTAATAAGTGGAAATGATAATGTACTGCAAACATTTATTTGTTGGTTCATATTTTTGTTATCATTATCATTTATATTTGTTTGTGCATGTAACTGTTTTATTGACATCTCTTTTTGATTTGCTTTTCGTTGTTTCGTAAATATAGGAGCCAATTTACTAGTTGTTTTTTTCTCCGAATTATTTTCATGACTAATTACACAGCATTCTTGGTTACTCTTAGTTTCACTATTACCTTTTACATCAACAATAATACAGTCATCAAAATTCTTATTTTGTTTCAAAGTTGATTTAAATTTATCAGATTTAGTTATTTCATGAACATGTTCAAATTTGCCTCTCTCGCATTTATCATTCTGTATAGTGACATTACACAGTAAGTTTTCCGGCTGCTCGCATTTTCTCAATTTTAATTTTGTATGTTCATTTATTCTTTTAGATATTTCTTTGTTACTTTTATCTCTTATTTGCAAATTTTCTGAATATAAACCCCTATTTATCTTAGATTTTTTAGAACTTTCTGTATTTAATTTAGTCTTACTCTTGGATGAAAGTAATTCTCCATCACTGATTTCACCTATGGAAAGGAGAGAAAAATATATATATACACATATATATTTTATATATTTATTCATTATATGAAAAATTAAATTTAACAAATCAGCGATCAAAGTGTTCAAATTCATTGCCCTCAACCAAATACTAATATTTGGGAGACTCACACATTTTTTTTCTTCATGAATACTATTTTTTACATAAATTAGAAATGTTTTTATTATCTTTAACTTACCCAGTGAAGTATTTTCATCTTCACGTGTTTGAAATTTAATTCGTAATGACCATCTGCCTTTATTCAATTCTTGATATTTCTGTTTTTTTTCATTATTAGGAATATCAATGATTTCAGATTCTACTACACTTATACTGTCTACTTCCGAAAATTGTAAACTTGATGTTTTTCTTCTTTTATTTGATGATATTGCATTGCTTGAAACTGCATTATGCAAATCATGTTCAATACTGTTTTGTGACATATGTACATCAGCTTTTACTAAGATTGTAGATATATCTGCCATATTTGTGTTTGTTAAATTTACTGAAGTTTTGCTATTAAATATAAGATAAATTTATGAAAATATAATTACTAATTAATATTGTTTTATATTCTGATAAAAAAAATATAATTCATTTATTACCTGAAATAATTTAGTAAATTACTTGATGCCTGTTTTTGACCTACAACTGAGATATCCATAGAATTATCTTTCTTCTCTTCTTTCTTCAAAAACTTTACAGGATTCTGAATAATTTTCTCAATCTTCTCATTTTCTATCTGAGAAATTTTTCTTTTAAGAGATTTTCTCTTCTCATTTATTAACCGATCTGTTGAACATATAAATTGTTCTCCGTGTTCTTCTGGTTTTCTAGCATTTAGTTCATTTTCAGTCAAATCTTTTATTGGTGTACTACACTGATTCAAATTATTATGACTCATAAGAATTTGAAAAGCATTTGATTCTTCATGAGTACTTTTAATTTCGTCACTGAGCTGAACATTTAACAAATTTGTGCTAGTGCTTTTATACATATCATTTACATGCGTATCACTGTTAATGTTTTCTCCTCTTTTTGATTTTTTTATATAACGTTTTTTGTCAGTTGAAATATGTATAGAATCATTCTTGATTTGTTTTTTATTAATGTTGAGAACATCATTAGTTTCCAGAGATAAATCAACATGTTTCTGTAGTTTTGTTGACGATAATTTTGATGAAAAATATTGCTTGGATGTTTGGTATATATTAATCTCCTTAAATGGATTACTATTTCTATCAATTATATCACTGCTACTTTCAATCATATTACACGTATCTTTTCCTGAATTCTTTTTAGATATTTCAACTGTTGTGTAATTATACTTATCTTTAGAATATTTCCTTGATTCAATTTCTTTCTTCTTAGTACTATTAGAATGTACAGGTAAACTATCATTGGCTTTTATAGTATCCATAAAATATTGCGTTATGTTTTTCATCCTTCATTACCACGCGTAAATAACTATAAAAATATGAAAAAGGCACAAAAGTAATTAACACAAAAGCTACTGTTTCTAAACGTGCAATGCAACGTTATGGTATGGCATCACAATTACATCCATTCCTGATACAATATTGCCGCCATTTATTCTAGTTGTTGTTCATGTTGGTAATCTTAAAAGCATGAATATAAAAATATATAGGTATGTAACGTGAACGTACATGGTTATCATCAATATGGCGACCAGGCCATTTGCAGCGCGTCTGTATTTTGTTATATCGATGACCATAAAAGAGTAGTGAAATTCACTAGATCGAGCGGTGTGAAGTTCGTCGAATGTTCTCTGTCTACTTACTGTGGTTTTGGTTAGGAGAGACAAGGACGGTAAATAGGATGTTACGAGAAAACACGCATTCTCCCATCCCAAACGACTCTGCGAAGAAGTAATATTTCGACATGATTTCTTTTACATACTACTCTCAGAGGTTTAATCTAGGTCGCTCTCGGGGCCGATTTTGGAAAAATGGGACGTGAAAAATTTTCTTCTATAAGAAATGTCAGTTTTCAGTGCATAAAATTGTTTTGGACAAAATTGCAAAATCGGCTCCGAGACCGACCTAGATTAAACTTCTGAGAGTAGTATGCAAAAGAAATCATGTCGAAATATTACTTCTTCGCAGAGTCGTTTGGGATGGGAGAATGCGTGTTTTCTCGTAACATCCTATTTACCGTCCTTGTCTCTCCTAACCAAAACCACAGTAAGTAGACAGAGAACATTCGACTAACTTCACACCGCTCGATCTAGTGAATTTCACTACTCTTTTATGGTCATCGATATAACAAAATACAGACGCGCTGCAAATGGCCTGGTCGCCATATTGATGATAACCATGTACGTTCACGTTACATACCTATATATTTTTATATTCATGCTTTTAAGATTACCAACATGAACAACAACTAGAATAAATGGCGGCAATATTGTATCAGGAATGGATGTAATTGTGATGCCATACCATAACGTTGCATTGCACGTTTAGAAACAGTAGCTTTTGTGTTAATTACTTTTGTGCCTTTTTCATATTTTTATAGTTATTTACGCGTGGTAATGAAGGATGAAAAACATAACGCAATATTTTATGGATACTATAAAAGCCAATGATAGTTTACCTGTACATTCTAATAGTACTAAGAAGAAAGAAATTGAATCAAGGAAATATTCTAAAGATAAGTATAATTACACAACAGTTGAAATATCTAAAAAGAATTCAGGAAAAGATACGTGTAATATGATTGAAAGTAGCAGTGATATAATTGATAGAAATAGTAATCCATTTAAGGAGATTAATATATACCAAACATCCAAGCAATATTTTTCATCAAAATTATCGTCAACAAAACTACAGAAACATGTTGATTTATCTCTGGAAACTAATGATGTTCTCAACATTAATAAAAAACAAATCAAGAATGATTCTATACATATTTCAACTGACAAAAAACGTTATATAAAAAAATCAAAAAGAGGATTTCCGACAATAGTATGCAAAAGAAATCATATCGAAATATTACTTTTTCGCAGAGGTATTTGGGATGGGAGAATGCGATACATCCGAGGCCGTTTGAATAACAACATGGCCGCTGGGATATCGCGCTGCTTGGTGCGGCTTGGTACTGACTGGGTTCAGGACTGGCTATACGTACATACATATGGCACCCCAGAGGGTACCGCTAAAAGGGCCCACCATTAAAAAATAGTTTGCATCAAAACTAATAACAATCGTATCATGATATTTTCTTTTCAAATGTATCATGTGCAAACACAAAATATTAATTCCAGAAATAATATATAATAAATTAGTTATGTTTTATGTTTTTTTAACAATTTTCCCGATCTTTTCTACGATATATAATTATTTCTTTTTAAACGAATAGGAAATTATAACGAACAAATAATGAAATTAACACACTAATAAGTTAACGAAGTGATATCATAAAAATAATAGTAAAAAATAAAGAGCAATCTTTATGGAGCGCCAATCTACGACAAAGTTTGAAAATCATATATGACACTCGGTTACATCTTGCTCTTCATTCACTTTTCTATCGATTATTGCGAAGTGAGCACGTTTAAAATATTATACTTCTTTATTTTATTCTTTCGTAGCAATAGCCGATACAGAACTGTCGTCAACGACACAATTCATCCTGATGACACACTCATTCTTTACTGCGAAGAAATGTCTCTTTGGAAGGGGAATTGCATTTGTACACAACACATGAACAGTCATAA